CTGATAAAAGCTATATATAATTAAGAAAGAGAGAGAAGATTAATATAACAGACTATATCTAATCAATTATATAAACTATTTTATTACACTTTATAGATTTCTATCACTCTGATTCTTAGTCACTAATTCTCAGCTGAAAATTTACAGAATTTCTATTCTTCTATTTTAAAGCTTTACTGTGTATAAAAATCTCTATTCTTTTATCTCAAAGTTTCACTGTGTATGTCACTGTATATATATATAAATATTTACTTTAATTACTAATTCTTATACTTTCTCTTTCTTTTCTTCTCTAACATTTTTCACTTTATTATATAAGATCTATAAATAGTATACTAATCTATTTAGTATAGACTTCTTATAATATTTGTTAATTATATAGTTACTGAGTAATATTATAATAATATTAGAAAGTTCTACACTGTTTTAACACTATCTTGATATTTAATATTCAGTGATGTGTTACTGAATATAATAATAAAATATGTATTATAATCAGTGACATATCATATATAACAGATAAAATAATGAATTCACAGTGTAATCACTGTAAATTAACTCTATATTCTTCCCGTATGATAGCTATATATATATTACATATGAGATCACGTGTAGGCGGAGCAGTTGCTATGGCAACGCTACTGAGACAGACGCTACAATATATTCTCAAACCTCTAACAACTAAACGTAAACAAGTTACAAAGTTAAGAAAGAAGTTAATTTTAATAAAATTATATCAATAACTACACTTATCTCTTCTGATAAAATTATTCTTTCAGTATATTCATTCTTGAATAAATGAGCAGGAATGAGTAATCTTCAAGATAAGATTAATTTTCAGTCAATTTTTATATTGAGTTGACCAGGCTTTTAAATAAATTAACCTCTTGTGTAGCAGGAACTGAACTCATACTAGTATTACAGTTATAATAGAAGTGCAAAATTCATTGATTATCTTCATCAGAGACTTAATTAATCAGATTCAATAACTCTCTTCACAATAAGCAGAAGAGAGAGATGACTTAAATTCATCAGATAAATAACAAATCTCATCATAATCAAGATGAAGTAATTAATTCTGTTTTTTTGATTAATTATTGCGTAGCAATATATAGTATTCAAGGTTAATAACTTCACTTCTCATCTGAGAAATTGAATGAGTTGCTTCACATAGTCAATGATGAGAGAAGAGAGAAATTATCAAGAAGCGTGATTGATAAGAAATTTGAAAATAGTTATTTATAGTATAAGTGAACTGAGTAGAGAGCTTTTAACATTTGATACTGATGCAGATGATTCTATGATAGAAACATTGCACATTTCAATGATGAATATTCTCTTTGGCAAAAAATAGCTCATCTTATCCCACCCAGCACGCACAGCTTATTCAAAGAGATAGGGTGAGAAATGGGATAATATGCTTCTAATTCACTGGTAAATGGCCATTCTGTCACGACTTTCAGGTCGGATGTCGCTCTTGAATGAGGTATGTAGATACGTAGACTGGAAGCAGAAAGGTTGAGATGAAGGCATGGAAAGTGATTTTCGTTGTTTTGATTCAATGATTCAGTTACGTAGAGCTGGGGGAGGCTGGTGGTTTTCGCAGCAAAGGTCTACTACCCTGGGATATCTCGAGTTTTGCGGTGGCTTGTGTCTCAAGCTAGTTATTACCAACCTTGGAAGGCCAAGAGTTCCCGCTGCCAAGACCCGGGCGGGGCAAAAGTCGTGCCAAGAGAAAGCTTGTTATTTTCTCTGGTGTTTGCTTTTCGCGTATTACGCACAGGATTTATTTAGTTATGAACATCAATAACAGATTGGGGATATAAGATGATGGGCTTAGAACTTTTCACAATTATGATTGTGATTGTAGGATGGCCCTTTCGACTTCTCTCCCTCTTATTCAAAACTTTAATCTGTGCCGATGCTCGATGCTTGCTTAGGTTGGGTTGCAACAGCAAACTATTTTTACTAATTTTCTCACTCTCCTCTAAAAATGACGCACCTATAAATTGGAACCTGAACCTGTCGGCGGCAGTTACAGTACTTGTACGGAGTATTATTTACAGCAAAAGGACAAGGACGCCTAGATCTAGGCCGTTGAATCTATCACTGTATAATAATAATAATAATAATAATAATAATAATAATAATAATAATAATAATAAGCCGTCAGAAACGTATCCAGCAAATCGGCAAAGGGCAGCCGGAACCTAGATCGATACACACCGCGAGCTGTCCAAATATCCAAATTGCGGGTGGGGCAAACAAAAACAAGATCTCGCGCCTCCTGATTGGCTTCCTTTTTGGCTGTTTTGCTAGTTATGGCTGGATACTTGACGTCATAGCTAGATAGAGCCTTGCTGATACCATATCATACCAAAAATATCATTACTCACCCAAAGATACACACGAGGTTCGCGTATGTGCAATACAGCATTGTCACATATCTCTACTCTACCCTCTACCCTACCCATACGCTTATCTGAGAATATATTAATACTAGATGCTTAAGATGAGAAAAACGAAATTCCACTTTCTACCTATCTTCTTCACCGCACAAATCTTAAGCTTGAGTGTTATTTTTACTTTCTATGAGGTTCCGAGGTTTTTCCAGCCTATCTAGAATTTTAACTAAAGAATTTTACTCCCAAAATCCATCATTGGCGTGCTGACTGTCCCGAATAGTGCGGGATTAAAAAATATTTTTTTCTTCCTTCTCCTTCTTATCTTCTGAGCCTTCTGGTTTATGTAAGACCCCTGATGAGTGGCCTGAGATATTCCCTTATTGGTCCAATAGTTCTCAAGTTGTTTAATCGCTAGAGTCGAGTCCATTTCTTCTTTTTCCCTTCTATTGCATCAATTTTTTCTCTTATACCATGCATGGGGGTTGATACTAGTTGTATTTTTCATTTCCCTTGAAGGTTCACCATTCAGCTTATACGCACACCTGCATTGCTTTGATAGCTTCGACAATATTCTGAAACTCAATATCTTGATGTAGTTAACTAATAGCGCATATGAGCGAGGGGAGAATTGATTCTCTCCCGCTATGCATTTCCAGTCTACTACTCTTTCTATTCCCAGCTGCCGGTAATTGGTAAGCGCTCGGGTATGATCCGTACCAGAGGAATACGCGTGGTCTGACAGCTGGGAAACACAGAACGTAACCATGCCATGCTTACTCACTCTCTGTAGTGAGTGCGCCACAGCGTACAGAAAACCACATCATAAAGAAAATATTTTGAATATAGTGATCTTCATAAATTAATTAATAATCATCATCACATCTATCTATAATATAAAGATTATCTATATACTCATTAGAAGGTGTAGAATTCACTGTAGATTAAGATTCTATAGAATTATCTTATTATAATTAAGTGACTGTAGATTTTATAGATTTGATTTCAATTAATTAAAGAGTTTTATTAAATATCTTTTTCATCTCATCTACTCTACAGATTGTAATCTTATAATTGATATTCTTAATAGTAAGAACTTTATCTATTTACACCTGTCTGTGAGAGAATTTAATAACTTAATATTTATTTACTTAATAATGATCTGCAAGTTCACTCTTATAATATATATTTAATTTCACCTGAATCATGCTACTCTTGAAGATCTTGTTCAATTATCTTATTAAATCAGATATAAGAATATTCTTCATATCTTCTAAGATCTTAACTGCTGTATTGATTTAATAACATAGTTTTACAATCATTTCTGAGAAAGTTAATTGCAAGAAGATAGTAACAGAGTAAAGTGATTGTATACATTATCATCATTATTATATATATTAAGATCTGAGACATTATCAATGATAAAAAATCTTAATCAATTGAGAATTATATTATGATTAACTGAATACATTTTATAATCAGTAAAGCCAGCTCTTACAGTATCAGGTTTAAATGCTTATAGTCAGACACTCTTCAGATTAGTAAGAAATTATCTATTATTATACTACTTATATCTGTAGTAGACAGTCTTATTAATAATATTCAACTGATGAATTCATATTTTAATTATCTCTTTCTGACTGTTATTCAATACTTAATTCAGTGAAACTTTTATAATTCTTAATTTCTTTCTGTTAATTCTCTCATATAAGATGATATATAAAACTTTAAATTCTTATGACAGAGACATGATTTTTAATTTTGAATTACTTTTATATACATTAACAGCTCTTTACAACTGCTTCTCAGTGTAATTAGAAGATTTAGACATGATTATAATTAATAATGATTATTTGAAGATAAAGAATGAAGATATTGAAAATATTTTCTGTATGGTGTGGTTTTCTGTACGCTGTGGCGCACTCACTACAGAGAGTGAGTAAGCATGGCACGGTTACAGCGTAGAGTAAAAATGACCATACCACACCAGAACACGGTTTTACAATCTCAAAAATACGCTCAAATACCAAACAAAGCTTGACCAGACGCTAGTGTATTTTAAGCAGCGCGCTAGCGCCAACCTCGTCCATCCGCTTTTTTGTCCCCTCGTCAGCCTCCTCTTCATTTCTTCTTCCTTTTCTCTCCCTCTGCATCATCGTCAGTCTACCAATCGTCCTCTGTGCCTTAGACTTCCAGCTCTCCCTCTACCTCCCTCTCCCCTCTGCCATCGACGCGGTCCTGATCCGTTGTCTACTTCAATTCCCGCCCTACTTTGTAAGTATAGCTTTCCGTGCCCGCAACAGACAAGTGCTGTTCAGAAATTCAAAGCGGACGGGTTACTTCTCTTTAGATCCTCCTAACATCATATCCTCCTGTAAGCACTGATTCAAGGAGCTCCCTTCTTTGCCAGTCAAGGATAATGGGATCTTGGAAACATCGACTGGCGCAGACCCGGAATACCCGCATATTGTTTCTTTGAGTTGCCCACGGCCGCTGAGATAGAGAGTGCTAATATATCCGAACTATCTACCCTCGTAGGGATCCATCATTTAACCAGCTCACGCAAAGAGCGGAATATATAACACATAACCAGCCACAATGCCTACTCTCAGTTTAATGACCCGCGATGAGGCTGTTCATCGGCTCGCCAAAAGAAACAACTGGGCTGCCGAAAACGCCGGTGTCATGTTGGTTTTCTGCATTCTATTCGTCATCGCCGTTGGTCTGATAATTCTCGCCGTCTACCGATGGAATCTGCGGCGCAAGGCTGCACGTGGGGGTCATTAAATCGAGTTTTATCGGGGTAGGTGAAGAGCCGTTGCTGGCGCGGTGTGAGGATGTTAGTTGGTCGTGGATTCAACGTGAGTGGAACGAGGTGTACATGGGAGCTGGTTGGGATGCGGAGCTGGAATTTGTACGTGGCCGGTTGCCTCCCTTAAAAAAAATAGAAAAAAAAAAATCCGAAGACGAACAACATATCCCCCTTTTTCGCCAATCCCAATCCCAGATGCCACCTTGGGAACATATTGGGCAGTGAGCAGCTCCAGTTGCGGTTTCTATCTAAGGGGGCCAATCTGTAATTCGAACCCTCGCAATCCATATTCCAGTCCGCGGAGCTATGGCAACATTGGTCTTTATGGGTCGGATTGGAAAAGACAAAATCCCTGCTATGGCTGGCATGGTTGCGATTGCGGGGCGCGCACAAGCTGCTTATTCCTATCAACGTTTTTTAGATTTTCTTGACATTTGCTCTTTCCTTATCCTTCCCCCTTTTCCTCCCCCATATTTTTTTATTTATTTAAACCACCATCCCCTTGTGACGTTTTTCTTATTGGTTCTATGTTTGTAACGCGTTCCTTTTTAGTTATTGGAGAAATCACGGATCGCGGTACGAATTGGGTTGTTCTCTTGGTTAAATAGTACATATATATTTTTTGTCTGCTTGTCATCAGACTACAACCCCCTTTCTTGTTCTGACAATTAATCTTGTATAGTGTCCATTTCAATAATCATTATCCTCTTTCTTCCCAATTTTCTAGATCTTTCGTTTTCATTTGCAACAACGCATCTAAGACTTCTCCTTTCCACCCGAACAATACGCTTTTGACGCACCCTATCACGACGGCTGCGGCCTCCCAAACGTTTCTTCTGCTTGTGTCGGGAATTCACCGATGCTCGCCATACCGAAGACAATTCCAGACCAAAAATATTCAAAATTAAGATCTGATTTGCACCCTCTCCCCATACAGTCTGAATGTGTTAGAGTTAACAATTAGATTGCAGAGCGTTGAATTGCCGAGGAATATTGTGTTGCTAACTTGCGTTGACTTACGGTTCAGATACCACCCGTTGGGTCGCGGGATATGTTACAAGAATCAAAGAAAGAATTTTTCTATCTATCGCAAGAAAAACATGGGGGGTTATTTGGGCTATGGATCAAACACTCCATGCTTTCGGTTTCAGTTGATAGAAATAAACGCCCGAATTGCTGTCGCCCGTGGATCATGGGCGGGGGGGGGGGGGGAGAGATAGGTTAGATGAACCGTAAGTTATGTTCTGTATCTGGGTTTTGAATACTGCTGGTTATTTCCGAGTCGCAGACTGATTTCTGAGAAGTATTATTGTATGGGTTGGGTTGGTGCGACACAGGTAAGCAACGTTGCCAGGCTAAATAAAAGAAAGGAAACTAACTACTCAATCCCGGAGTGATAGATACCACATCCAATGTTTCGTGGAAATTTCCATTTCTAAGGAAGTACAAGTTGCCGCAATAGGATCTTCCAGTTTCTTCCACGACTTTATTTTGCCTTGTTTTCTCCTTACTACTTTTCTTCCCGTTTTTTTAGTATGTTTCAATGTCGTGTGGGCCAACACAAAGCCGTCCAATCGCCCGTTCACCAGAACAATGCTTTAAAGTGCAGAAGTTTTCGGCAAGACGAAGTCATGACAGGCTCCTCGTTCCTCCTAAAAAGTCGATGAGTGACCTCGTCACTCATTGCAAACCTTTAGACGATTTTCAGGTTGCCTTGACTTTTCTTTGACTTTTCTTGGTCTTTTGCAAGGCGTTTCAGCATGCACTTCCATTACATGATATGCGCGGCATTACCCAATTTCAACTCCCACCCCACGCTTACACCCGTTCCCTTCAAGTGATGATGTCGATGTCGTGGTATATATTTCGACTTCTTCCCGCGCCTTGTGTTCGTACCACTACTCTGCTAGACCTTGTCCAGGTGGTCCGGAAACGAGGAGCAAAGTTGCGGGCAACCGTACATTGATCTTCGCGGATTAAACCACCCTTGCCTGCTTTCTCAGATGACTATCCAGGCCCTCTGTTTTCCCTTTCCGCCACAGTGCTAATACAAACCATACCCTACGGATAATGGAACCAAATACATATCCTGCCCTACCTTGCGGAATGGTTTATATACCCTGCGACCCGGGGGCCAACTTTGAGATCAGGGATAGATAACTATATATGACATTCATCTCCCGCATGCCATATTGTTAACAGTCTTATGTGCCTCACTCGCTTCTTTCTTCTACTATATTTGTATTCATTCTTTGCTTCTGCTTCCAATCAAAAGATCTTCAGTTCACCATCTCGGGTACGATTATCTAGTCCGCTATTTCAGTTTGAAGTGTCTCTGGAAGCCGCCAGCGCGAGTGAGTTCGCTCCATCCTCGGTGGGGTAGTTAAGGTCTCCATCGAGCTTTATAGTGACGAAGTATCTTACCTCCAGGATCACAAGCAAGTCGCTAGGGCTCTACTCGCATCGATCCCGCTACCTGTTCTCCTCCTCGCCGACTTGATTTATATTTCGGCAAGCCTAACGAATTTATTTGCATCACAACAGCCAAATAACGGCCCACCAAACTGCCCTTTGATGACGTACTTGCTTCACAATATGGATCTATGGCAACAGACGAATATGCCATGTCGTGCATGGTGCACATCGTGTGAATGCAGCTATACCTCCCAACTCACCTGTCCTGTGGGTCAGCTCTACATGCCAGACAATTACCCGCACACGCTTACCACCTTTTCCGATGCATCCAATTCTCAATATAGTATCGATAAGCAAGCTACGCCTCATGTACATGTGCAACAAGACGAGGGGCCCGAACCTCCAGAAATATTTCAGTTGCCAGAAGATGCTTTTTTGGGTGCGAGCCCACATGACATTGCTTATGGAAGTAGCTCAGCAGCTTCCAAGAATTTCAGTCAGGATATAGACATCGACCGTCTAGCATGTGATAAGAGCGTTAAATATCTTGGAGTCAAGAGTGGAGGCGAGCCTCTACCAGCGGTATCAAATTGCCCACCGCCCAAAGCCTTCCAAAAGCAAGCGCAATGCGATTTCACTCAAACAAACATCCCAACAGAGTTTCATGCCCTACCTCAGACATACTCTCCTCAGCTCAGTACACAACAATATACCGCCCCTCCGAACCAGGCAGGCATAGGCATAGCTACAGATGAAGGCGGCCTTCGGGAAAACTGGGAAGAGTTCGACCACGCGTTTTTAGCAGCGAATTGGGGGCATGGAAGCGCCCAAGTCGCCCAGGAGGCCTATTCACTTTCCGAACCGGATAACGGCTTGATGATGTCTTTTCAACAAGACGACTACAATAACCTGATGCGCGCACCCCGTGCGAGCTACGCCTCTGAGATTCAACAATTGTATCGGGAAGGCGAGCCTTACCATTCAATATCATATACACAGACATCACGCAGCAGGTGACAGAGTATCCGAATCCAGCACCCTCCGACGAAACCGAAGGGACGGTGCGTGGCGACGTGCTCATGTCTAAACTTTGGAGAGTATGATGACGTGGACGTGGGCGGTGGTGAGGACAGTAAGGATGCTGGAGAAGAAAACGACAAGTATATTTGTGTTGGTTCAGATGCTGCTATTGCCACTTATATTACTCCTTATATTGATGATGATATGTCGATGATGCCAGTGGTGTCGATGATAAGGGCGCTGTTGTTGTTACTGCTGCTCCTGCTGGCTATGCAAAACAACGAAAATCCGGCAACGTAGTGCAAAACTTAACAACGAGTACTCCTTACTACTCATGGCGACGTGTTTAAGTAGCAGGTAGCAAGAATGAAAATTTCGCTGAATGGGCTGTATTGGATCGGATTGAACTGGATGCTGCTTCTTTTCTTCTTTTCGATTCCGCTTCGCTATATTGGATGGCTGGTTTACATTTTGTTGTTTGCTTGGCAGACGATATTCTCTTTCAGTTTTTGGAGTCTCGATTTCGATTTTGTCAGGGTTTGTTTTTCCATTAGGTGAGGCGTTTTGTTCTGTGTCCCTTTTGTCGGTGGTGATCTGCTTTTAGAAGAATATTTTTTTGGGTTTACTGCATAGAAAAATGGGGGAAGGAATGGTTGGCATGTGTCATTGATTTAAAGGTCCATCTGTCCTTAGTTCGCTGTTCCATATTTATATTTGTTTTTTGTTATTTCCCATTTCTTTTAGATACCTTTGGAGAATGATTTTTAGGGTTATTTCTTTGGAACCATCCCTTCTTTACGTCTTTCCCATCCCGTCATGCCATTAATCCGCTGGAGCTTTGGAAGTGTGCTGTCCTTTATGACGTGACAGGCTCGGGCGGCGCCTCACCCGACGTTTAGGTGGGGCAATGTCCGAATTTATATCGACAGTGGCGGAAGACGGCGGAAGATCAGCTAACTAGGTCCAACCATCGCTAACTATATTATTCGCTCTTTAATTCCGAACATGGCCCAGAGGGCTGGCCGGAGCCAACTTTCCAAGAGCCAACGTTGGAGCACCCAACCACCGTGCCGAGCCGAGTGTATGCCACCTTCCACGAGGCGGAGAGAAAATTTCAAGACAGATATCTATCTCAGAGATGATGGAGTGCCCATAAAAAGGATGCGAAGGACTCGCAACCAATCTTTCACTACCTTAACTATGTCTCTAGCAGAACCGAGCCCCAAGGTGTCCAGTGGGGCGAATGTTCCAGCTTTTTATAGGCACTTTCTCTGGCTCAGTGCTCCCAGTTATCGATATATTTCTGGAATCCCACTTAGGAACCCTGGCGTGTGCCTCGGGCAGCTGGATGGACAGTGCTGGAGCCGCCCGCCCGTCTGACAAAAGGCGAAGTTGTTTCAATTTTTTTTCCTGGTGTGTGGGAGACAGAGCAGGTTTTGCGCCCTGCGCACTTTGTCCTTCATTTAGTTAATTATCGTTGCTCCCAGTTCTCACGCAGAGTGTGCCATTTGTCAAGAAGCGTAAGCAGGGAGTTTAACGAGCCATACTCACACACTGCCTCCTATAATTCATATTTGCCAGCTTCAGTTTGAATTTCATATCGTTTTTCAAACGTACACCCACTAAACGTAGAAAGCCCCTAATTCTACCATTCCAACATCCCACGGACGGTGGCGCCAGGCGATAACCATGTCCTCAATTAGAGACTGCACGCTAGAGACCTGCCCAATCGAAGCAAGCATATTCAAATACCGTCCCTCCCTACCCGCCAACGCAGCCTTCCTCAGCCTCTTCGGACTATCCGGCCTAATTCACCTCCTCCAGCTCCTCGTCTTGCGAAGCAATTATGCCTTCTCAATCCCAATCTTGCTCGGCTGCATAGGGGAGATAATCGGCTACGTTGGCCGTCTCATCCTATACAACAACCCCTTCAGCATCGACGGGTTCCTGATCCAAATATGCGCGCTGACGATCTCGCCCGCGTTCTTCACTGCCGCGATCTATTTCTGCATTGCGGATATCGTCCGGCTTTTTGGGTGTGAGGGGACGTCGCGGCTGAAACCGAAGCAGTATGCGTGGATATTCATCCCATGCGATATTATCAGTCTTGTGTTGCAAGGGTTGGGCGGCGGGGTTGCGAGCGTGGCGACGCGGAGGCACGAGGATGGGACTACGGGGGTAAATATCATGATTGCCGGGTTGGCATTTCAGGTGTTTAGTCTATTGATATTCATCTTGTTACTAGCAGAGTTCTTTGTTAGGGTTTACCGACGGGGGTATCTATGGAGGGAGGTTAATGGTTATGAAATCAAGGCTGGGAGTGGTGCTGATGGCATTGGTCGTACGGTTCTTGGGCGGTTATATATATTTTTCTCCACGTTTTCACTCGCTATTTTGTGCATCTTTATAAGATGTGCATACCGGGTGGCGGAGTTGAGTCATGGGTTTGGTGGGAAGTTAATCAGGGAGGAGGCTCAGTTTATTGGGCTTGAAGGAGTGTAAGTTCCCCCCCCCCCAATCCCTTCAACTGCCGTGAACCTTGTATCGGCGCTGGATGTGAGGTTCATCTTGTTTTCTGACATTTTGTATGCCAACAGGATGATCGTAGTGGCTGTATTCGCTCTCAACCTTGGCCACCCAAGGATGCTGACTTTATAAATAATACAATTGTGAATATTATACCACCTACTTTAACTCTACCCAACAAATCTTTGTCATTGCTTTTGGCTGAAGAAGTCATGTTAACAAGGTACCTCAATGGGCCAGAATATAAACTTTTGTCACTGCCCGCGAAGAGTAACTGATATTGTTCGTGTTGGGATTGTTGCCATAAAATCATGCCCCTTTTACCATTGACAATGGATTCCCACCACTGTCAACTAGGCATTGTCGCTTCCGTGCTCCTTTGCCAGTGAGATACTCCCGAGGTCAGCTCCACAATCGTCCTCACTGCGGCTTGACTGCGTGAATTTACGGCCCTGGTCATTATCTGCAATTCTGACCGCACCTCATAGCTGGCCGTTCAATTTGCATGACGGCTCCAGAAGGAGAGCAAGGGAACAATGAGCCGTCATAATGTGTACAGGCGGGTGTACAGTCGGTCGGCGCGGGAATGGTAATAATTAATTAGAGGAATTCTAATTCGCTGGCCATTTATATGATTAATTTAGCCGGCGAACATAGCATGCTCATGCCCAGGAAGAAGACAACTATCCTCTAGTAATATATGGGTTGCTCTTATTGACACCCGCTCAACACTTCGCGGCATCAAGAACCGTTGCGCATCCCGGTAGTATGACAGTAAAGCTCGCGAACTGACTTGGCTTAATGAAAGATACAGAATTCGGTAGGGAGAGAAGCGAAGGGAATGGATGACCATATCAGAGAACTGGAAAAGCGCAAGACGCATCTGGGCCATTATTTCCCCGGCTCTTCTTCAGCATTCCTCATCTTTGCTAAGGGCGAACAACACGGAATAGCGCCTTTCCAGGAGGCCAATGCAAAAAATCGAAGAAGAAAATAAAGAGCGCAAGAGTGGCAGCTCCTGCGCGACAGCGAGGCTAAAGCACGTTTTGGCTGAACATAACGTGGGAGTTAACTTAACGCACTGGACACGTGGAAACCGACTGCCAGGTTAACAAATGATTCCAGGAATAGCCATCCTAAGCGGTGTTATAATCTAGATAGTTCATATAAAAGGAGGAAAACAAAGGCTTAGCCCAGTCAATGTACACACACAGGGACAAACGGAAGAGGAAACGCAACAACATACAGTCCGATGATGTTAACTACGCATTGCGCTATGAGGGCTAGCCTCCGGGCTTTACTCCGCGTTCGACTCCGCGTTCAGCCTTGAGCCGATGTGAGTGTATGCGAACATTTAGTGCTGACACAAAACTCTGCTGAAATCTCACCCTGTCCTGTCTGTCCTGGCCGTATCAGTGGTTTCCCGTGTGTTCATAGATTTGATTTTCGACCAAACCATGAAACCAGCCGAACAAAAATTCCGAGGCGATAAAGAGCTAAGGGCGAATGTGGCGTAAAAGTCTATATTTCTCGAAGTCCTCCAAGGTTCCTCTGGCACTTTTCGTATTATTTGGTGGCTTCTTCCTCCAGTTTCAACAGGCTAGTTAGTGGGTTGGCCTTAAACACGTTGAAAGTTCCGCCCTTGCCGAACAAACATTCTCGAACATCCAGAAGCCACCCACCCGGGATGACAAAAGAACCCAGTCCTGTGGCACTGAAGGCGCAAAGTCAATTTTTCACCAATATGCGGGGGTGGGGGACATTTGTGAGAGCATGAAAAATGATGTTGGACGCTAGCTATTATTATTCGATCAACAGTCAGCTTTCAGAATTATTGTTGATCCTTCAAAGACCTAATAACATTCATCAGAGCTTAGAGCTTACGCTGTAGAGGCAAGAAAAGGGCGAGGTCCCAAGATCCATCTAAGTATTGGTAGAGACGGCCAATCAAACATAATGCTAAATCGAAATCTGAGAACAGGAAAACGGAGAGATAAGAGGCCAAATGGCGGTGGGGGTTGTAAAGGCCGTTCGTTCGGTCAACTTTCAAGGCTTATTTTCCCCTTTTTCTGTCCCGCGGCGTCAGGAATCGCAACTTAAAAGCTCTCGGGCTGAAATCGTCAAGTAGTTGGGGAAGAAGAGGGGGGGAAGAAGAGTCGGCGATGGTTATCAGTATCGCATTTTTTTTTTCTGGATTTCTCAGGTAAGTTAGGTGATAGCTAAGCAATATGAATAGTCATGCATATATATATATATCACCATTTTGCGACACCCTATGTGCGTGTAGTCCCCGTGCTGTATGTGTACAATAATATGGACATTGTTCATACATGTACTGTACATACATACATCTACGCCGGCGATCCGCGACAAGGCAAGGAAATGGCGGAGATGAGCAAAACAGTTTTTGTTTGATAACTTCTTTTTTCCCCCTTTTTCGAGGATGTAGTTAACTTAGCTATGTATGTCCGTTTGTTTGGACATGTTGTGTCCATAGTCCTAAACTCAGACCACCGGTTTTTGTGTCCCTTTTGGAAAATAATTGCAAGCGCTCAAATTTTTACCGGTGCCATCATTGCTCCATTTTTTTTCTTTTTCTTTTTCTTTTTCTTTTTCTTTTTTTATTTCTTCTCTCAAGTATACAGACAACCTCGAAGATACCTCTGTCTGAAACCGGCAGCAGGGAAAATGAAGTAGTGGAACATAAAGCAAAGGAAATGAGTTGATACATGCTATTATCTAGATTTAATTGCCTTATCTAACAAGTTAACCAGTGTGACTCGGGCAGGCTTATGTGCTATGCTCCTCCCTGACTGTTGCTGCATGACAGCGACAGCAATGAGAGGAGCAGAGGGCAAGACGGTAGATACATAAAAGTACATGTAAGAAATTGTCTGGCGCAACGTCAGGAGTATTTTTAAATGATATAGGACGGATGGAATGGTAGTCCCTACTCCACGAAATGTAAAGCTTTCTTTCGAATGCAAAGACGGCGGGTATGGCGGGAGTAAGCGCAGCATAATTTTCGCTTTTCGTGGTAGAATTTGTATAGGTCGTTCCTTTTTTGTTTTCTTTTTCCCTTTCCGTAGATTAACTGCCCTTTCACCGAGAGAGCGGCGACAAGGTTGGGCGACCGAATAAGGAATAGAACCGACAGGTTGCATGGTACCACCTTATGGCATGTTTCCGTGCAGGTTATAACGGGGAACGGAGATCTCGTCTCACATAAAGGAAATAAATGTTGTACGGTAACGGAGAGGTAGGGAATATGTCGGGATCAAGGAAAGGGATCAGGGCTCCCTTTCAATCGCTGGAGTATACAGAGAGCCTTGCACGGTAAATAAAAATATTAAAAACGGTGAAATTAAAAGACTGTAGGGCTATGATCTGAGGACAGGAAGGCGTTAAAAAGGGAAATCACCAAGTCGTCTATGGAAAATAACTAGAAGGAAAAGGAAAAAGGAAAACTCTAGCCCAAAACTCCAACGCCCAAATATCAAAGTATCATTCCTCTAATCGTCTGTGCCAGGTACGTGGCGGTGGAGGCATCCGCGTTTCGTTCACAGAGCTATCAGGCGAGGTGCTGTTATCTTCCGCCAGTTCGGTCGTGATCTCAATTGTCGTTTTCTGGTAGACTTTACCAAGTTCGCTGAGCTCTAGAGGTTGCACAATGCTATCCGTCGACCCGTCACGATCTCCACGAGTGTCCCTTTCCGTCACCTGCCGCCGGTGAAGAATGCCGTTGTCTAAGCGCGACTGTTTATGGTCCGCCGTGACGGTTGTGATGTGACTATGCCCGATACGCTGAGAAGGGTAGAAGCGGTCAACGTTGCTAGGTTCAGAGTCCATAAGGAGCGCCCGTCGGGTCAGGGTGTACATGATCACATCCACGAATCCGGAGCTGGCAATAACTGCACCAGCAGTGCAGAAGTAAGTGACACTTAATTTGCCTCCTCTGGCGGTCGCCATGCGGCCAGCTGCAAGTGGCAGCGATAAGATAAGGTATGCAATCGGATACAGGACCATGTATCCAATTACTCTTCTAAGGCGGCGGAGATGTTCTTTTTGCCCTCTTCCTAGAAGGGCGGATTGTGCAACTTGGTGGCGGAGGTGGAAAAACAGGATCATATACAGCACGACGGATCCGAACTCTGCAACAAAAATCCACACGTAATGTGTCCACAGTCTGTCTGCGTCGTACACTTCATCGATCCAACACTAGAGTAGAAAAAAGGAGAAAAAAGAAATTTGATATGTTAGCCATTGTAAATGTCTGGACAGGAAATTTGATTTTTACACACCCATGCGCCAGATGGAACGTAAGTTTCCCTCCCATATCGCAATGTAGGAATGAGTGTTAAAAGCACAGCAAAGGCCCAGACAAAACACACGCAAACTATGAACCAACGATGAGAGAGTTTCCTCCCCATCAGCACCATTGCGAAGGTATGGACAGCAATTGCCAGAACGAACAGCCCGCTGGACGGATCACCGATCTGTAGTAACCACCCTTGAGTGAAGCATATGTGTGAGTCGGCAGATATTCGGTTCGTGATAGCCCAATGTAATGCCAGCAGAAATCCGACAGCTTGTTGAAAATCCGCTAACAGCAAATTGTAAATCAGGATAATGTATTGATTATAGCCAATATATGTCGAATAGTATTTTCGCCAGTAGACTAAGCGGTAAGTGAACACGATGAATAGGACTCCCGTAGAAACAGTCGAGATCAGGGAGGTAACGCCAACACCTATGAGACCTCTTCGGTGGTCTGCCGGTAAAGGATCAATTGTGAATGGAGTGACTCTTCGTGGTGCCAGCGATCTCGTCTCGTGGTGACTGGAACCCGCGGGACCGTATGCTGCCCATAGCATAACGGCTAGATTCATGTTGGCTTCTAGTATAGTATGTATGGACTGGGTCCTCTTGTAGCCGTGTAGCCGTGGGGTTTGCTCTTCTTACTCCCTTCACATCCGTGCTTATGGATGCGTTTGAAGAGAGGAGGATCTCAGAAGGGATCTAAATGATATAAGACGATAAGGTCGGCATCTGCTTGAGGACAAAGTTTCAATAATAGTGACAATGGTATGAACATAAGCCAGCTGGGGGTGTCAGCAACAGCTTAAAGTTATGGAGTGATGATATTCAGAAAAATCTGGGGAATCGGTTCATTTTGTTCAATTCCAACTCCCTCCCGGGGATGGGGCCACAAAGTCAAGAGGGGGGGGGGGGGGTGGAGAATGGCTGAACAGGGATTTGCGAACTAAATAAGCTCATTTTGTACCAGATATTCCAGTTGACAAACATTTTTGCTCCTGGTTAATTCTCCGGTAAGCGTCTGGCCAAGGGTGGATGACAGGACCGTCCCTTGCGTGGAAGCTGTGACACCCTGTCTCTTACTAGTGCAGAGTTTGGTGGGTTTGCGGGTGCTTTTTTGCAGGGGCATGAAAAGATAACTAGCTAGCGCTCGGCGACGCTGGAGACATATGTTTTCTGTCCAAGATCCAGAACATCGCGTTTGCTTATGATCCCCAGCTGAATTGCAAGAGAGGCGAAAAAATCCCAGGCTACCCGTACCACTACGTTCTCTCGTTTTCTCAGAATCCAATGAGACATCGGGTTGTCCATTGTTACCCAGTGCTCCGTCTTCTGCTGCTGGAATTGCGAATCAAAGGCCCAAAGGACAAAAATTTTGGGGTTCAGGACGGACCCCAGTTCTGAGGTTCCCGGGAACAGACCGATATGTGGAGGTCTGAAGTTGCCAGGCCACTTTCCGGCGGGAATTCTACGGAAGCCTGAGGTCAGCTTGAGTATCATTCTCCTCATGTCATGTCCCATTACCGCGGATTCCCTGGACAGCCGAGCGCGTAGGTAAAAAAACACATGGTGGGACACCCTCTTGTTCCACAAGAATCATACCACAGCTTATTTAGCATACTTGGTCAAAAGGCGGTAGTGCCTGGTAAGTAGGGCTTCAGGCAATGCTTTCTGCGTTTCTGTTTTTTTTTACTAGTATTGATTGAACCAACAAACCTCCAATTATTATTATTGTTAATAGGAATAGCGGAATGGAGAATTATTCAAATTAAAGACGCCCGTGACGAGCGAGACCAGGAGGTGACACACCAGTGCACGAACCCGAAATGACCCATACCGCCTGAATCTAACGGTGAGAAGGAAACATAGCGTAAGGTCCGTGGAAACGAGAATGAGCAACAACTAGAATTTGTAAAATTCAAATGGGCGTTGTGTTAGTTGGTACTTGCGTGGTGATAGTTAGTTATTGTCCCTAGATGCTTATCGACTCGGCCAAATTCACGATTCAGCGAAAGTGGCCATTTGACGTGGCCATTTGACCTGACCCACCTTGGGGCAAATATGTTTTGTGAGGTGCGGTGCACGAATTGCAAGTATTCAACTATTTTCACATTTTCGCATCACTGATATCACACCGTTCGCTGATGAAATCGGTGTCGGCGATATAGTTACCAATTCTTTTCATCGGCATCCCTTATCATCGGAATGTCACGATCTGCTCTCAGATCTGAGTTGTGTGGTTGTGGAGAAAAACACAGTATACCACATGTTGGTTTCCACGGACTCAAAAAAAGTATATGCTGTATGTTTTCGTACAGGATGGGGATGGGATGGGGATGGGAATGGATGGGATGGCTCTGACTGACCATCACCATCATCCAACCAAACCAGGAAAAAAAAAAAAATCACCTGACGGCCTAACCCTAGGTACCATCCTGATTTCTTCGACCATCCTATTATTTAATTATTGTACGGAGTACTGTACGGAGCACGGAGTACTTGGAATACACTCCTCGGGAATATTAAATGATCTGAAATTCATCATGCATGCAGGATGAAAACGAAACAGTGGCTAAGCATACGATACGGTCTCCAAACAGACAAGCGTCAACCTGGCTACAGAAATCGAAAGATATTTTTTTTAAATAATGTCGAGCTTCCACCAATAATCTCTATCCCTTGGTTGGCAGGGTTGTCCTTCGTGAAAGTACGCAGTAGGGCACCAATCGCTAAACACACCTAGTAACTATCGCATGGCGAACAGGGATTGTACGCCACCACCAAGCCTTCACCCAAGCAATGATGGTTCTCTCAGACAGCCAGCCAAATTCAAGAACGCGAGATCCACGTCTTATTAGATAGAGCTTGCCTACGCTGCGTAGTGCCCACTTGGAGTGGATAGTTACAATGTGGGGGTGGCATTTTGTTTCCATATCTTCAAGTGGGCTACTTTGTACTTGTCACTCAAGAGAGGGAAGAGAAATAATCAGATCTTTATTATTCTTGAGTAGTTACCGTGCTATTATTAACTATCAGTGTCTTGATACGGACCCAAATCTATCCAGAGGTTGCTTTCAAAAAGCGCAAGCACTACTCCGTACTGTACTGCATAGTTAGTTGGGACGACCCCCGGGAAAGACCTTGATCTGGATCGGCGAATGTCAGCCCATACCTAGCGTAACTAGCGTTAACTAGTTAGATCAAACTTTATATTTTGAGAGAATGCGTTTGGGATCGCAAAAGCCCGATCGAAGGAGTTCCCCTGTCACAACTCTCTCTGGGGGGCAAGATAGCAGGATGGATATGATATGGATGCTACTGTCACAAAGCCCCGCCAATAAGCAAGCACTAAAAAAGCTAGTGTATCCTACCCCCGTATTCGACAAAGTTCCCCCAGCCCAATGACCCTTGTCACCCTCGGCATAATATCGGTTTCGTCAGTATGCGATGCGGCAACACCAAGTTGTTTTTTTCGAACGTGATCCGCGAAATACTGTACCTACTTCATGAAGTGGTGTTTGGTAGTGTGATTATCGTGAACTGGCACGCTTAATTGATAGCTTTGTTTGTTTCGAAGCATGATAATATCATCTCCCGAGTCACCGTGAAAGATCAAGCTGTAGCTGGTTGTGAATAGTTATCCAATATCCGGGGAAAGGGGGTTGCAGATTGTCTGCATGTTAGAACTACAGCCTGCTGATGAGTGACTGAACTTGCACCCAATACTCCGCGATAAGCGGAGTGAATTATCCGAGTATCAAAATCTGTTCCTTCAGCAAATAGACGGGCCGCTGTTATTCCATATCCTTTTGATCAACGGAGACATACGGAGGATCCTCTCTAAAGTTTTGATTAGCACTAAGAATTTATTAAGGTGTAGTTAACTAACTTTGTTACAGGCATAAAATAAAGTATTCCCATTCCCTCTCTTAACCAGAGTTCGAAGGGAGGTAGGTAACTTTAAATGTCTGTGGCACCTGAATAACCATAACCGGCTACAGCTTAACTAAAGCTAGCACAGTACGGAGTAGTTACTGTACTACAGCTTAAATTCTTAGCGCTAATCAAAACTTTTGATAGGCTCCTCCGTACTCCGTACATATTCCCATGTTCGGACACGCAGAAAAACCAGCAAGTGTCGTATGTGGCTGAATGACCCCGCAGTTTTCCCCAGAGACGAGATTGCATTGCTGTGCTAGCTAGTGCTGACATCAAAATGTTGGTTGTGGAAATGGCTAAACAGCTAAAAATTTCAATACAATCATCGCTTGAACAGTCGTCCAAGTAGAATTTTGGACAATGATATGATAGTAATGGAGAGGCAAGAAACTCCGCCACCAAATTCCAACGCTTTCACTTTCATCACATGAGAATGCATGAATTCTACGAGGCCTCTAGCAAGTCGAGACTTGTTCTTCTTCACCTTTGCACCCACATTGGTATGGTATGTGGTGAAAGTTTCCAGGCGTTCGCCACAGTGTGTCTACCCCACGGGCGTTCGCGTGTAAGTTACCAGAAGTGGTCCAGGGGCACAAAATTGACTCTGCTTACCCGACCCGCCCGGGGTGTGTGTCATAACCAACTTAAACCAAGGTCAGTGGTTCCACTTAATTAACAATTTGCCCTAAAACCAACATGTCGGGCTGCCAATTGGACAATATCGCCTGCAGTAAGGGTAGCTAAATGGGACAAGCCGAGGAGGCTGTAACCAGCTCCAAAATATACGAAGGAGCAGAGACCCACCCACGGGAGTTAACAGAGTATCCATGGATGCCATGGGGGTGAGTATCTCTGTCTTCCAGAGACATCAACCATTTATTATTATTATCATTATTACAAGCATCAAATGCTCGCTTACGCTCGCTTTTCTGCTTGCGCAGCCCCCTCTACCACTTCCACCCTCCCCCCCAACCACTCCCTACCCCCCCCTTTACCACCCCTTCCACCCCTTACCCTCTACCCCCTCTACCACCACCACCTCTACCACCCCTACCACCCCTACCACCCGAAT